CACCACCACCACCACCACCACCACCACCACCACCACCACCACCACCACCACCACCACCATCATTGGTTGCCTTTTCCAGACCATTTCGTCGGATTGTCAATCAAATATGCTTATATCAGTCGACATTTGGTTGGTGCTCATTGTTGATGCACGTCAACAATTTCTCTGCAATCTTTAAATTCAGATAAATCCAGACGTTTTCCAAGGATAGGATATCGATCGTCTTCTTACACAAACTTGCTGTTCTCGCCCACAACACAACCGTAGGCTGCTTGTATTTGCTTTTCTATTCCAGCGCTGTTTCTGCACGATTCTAGTCCGTAGCCCACGCGCGCAACGCCAAACCGTCCCCAGCCTCCTCATTGGAGCGAATCGTTTTATTACTCATATTAGGCATGTGTTCTTTTTGCACCTAATTGTCTCCACAACCAGTAGTACACGTAGGATCTGACTAGAACGCGTTAACACTACGAGTATAGTGATACTAATTGCATTGGTCGCTGGTACGTTCTCCAAAAGACAAAATGTCCAGCTTTCATTCTCTCATCAGTTTGAAATCTGTTATCTTCCTGTCCTCATTATTTTACTTGCTTTTATTGAATGTATAATGACGTCTTTTCTCGCTTTTGATACGCCATATCCACATATAGTTATCATTGTTGGCGGTTCTGTTTTGGTATGTGGGTTCGCCAGGACATGCCTTCGTATTTCATCATAGCGATTCGTGGAGCTAGATTTCTCTGGATCTCGATGTACAATAATCACTGATCATAAGATTTGTCGTTGATCGTGTAATTGTTGTGCATTGAAAACGTCTCCATAATTCTGTGCAAATCCCATACTCCTTTACCATGGTCCTCTGTTTTGTTTTGCAGGCTATCTTGTCCTTGATCTGTCAAGAGAACTATAACGAATTATTTGCCGCACCACTGACTATGCTGGATGCCACTTTGCGAATGCAATCTTGTGAACGTTCATCGTCTTCCACATACAAGACGGCCATAATGGCTTCTGATTGTCATTTAGTTCAATCCAGTTGGCTTCCGACATCTTGGTACCAATTAATCCTTGCCT